TAAATTATCAAGGGCTCATGAGGGAGGGGACACAATAAATTTTAACTATCTCAATGCGAGAGAAGCAAGGCGCTTTGCTTCGTTATCATGTTGAGGTGCCGTTTAGGGACATGAAGACAGGCCCTCAGGGGGAGAAAGGTGTGGAAGACATTTAGAAGGGAAGGACCCTGGGCTGGAAATGTGGGCTCAACTGCTCTCACAGCCTTCCTTGCACGACCTTGGAAAGCCACAGGTTCTGAGCCTTGACATGAAGGTCAAGGCTCTGGGAGTGGGGGCAGTAGCCCTCTCTAAGTTCGCTTGTAACCCTCGGAAACTATGGAAAGAAATAAAACCATTCATTGAGAGCCCTGTTTCTCCCAAGTTCTTCTTCCTCTTACAACTATAACGACACAGCACTGAAACATAGCAAGGCTATGGGAGGTAGCAAGAAGACCTCAGGCCACCAGAAACAACAGGGCAGTGGTTCTTTGAGTTTCCCCATAGTCTCCATCTATCCCAGACGAGGTCCTGCAGACAGGAGACTCCAGCTCTGTGTCACGATGGAGGCCTTGGTATACTACCTGTGGGGGATTGCATAATCGGCTGTCAATTTGAGGATTGAGAGTGTAGGGGTGGAGTCTAGCCGTCAACTAGGAGATAGCCAATGAGGCCTCTGTGTGGCATGGCTTCTCCTGAGAATTCTGGGAACTCTGGATTTCTTCCTTGGAGGTGGGAGACACTCTTTCTTACTACTCACTCCCTGGGAGACTTTGTAGCTGACAAGACACGTGGAACTGTGCTAGTGCCCTGACCTGGAGGAGCCACGTGGAGACTCACACCAGTGCTGAGATGCTTCCACCGTCACTGGATCCACAAGACTATCCACCCACTGGCCTGTGATCTTCCTGCATTCGGCATCATTGCATGTGTTTTGTGAGTCTGAAGAGGACTTTATAGATTGGTATTGGATATACAGGCTAATATCAGACTGAGGACTTGGTCTGAGATGTTTTCTTAATGTACAGTTGCTCTTGTATATAAAGCTCTTTCTGATACACATACAAGGGTCTATGGATTTGTTTCTCTAGTCTACCCAGACTAACACAATACCCTCCCAAATTCTTGGTTTTAGAGAAGAGAGAGGGGAATTGATCTAAGATCCAACACTAACCCAGTTCCACCCCAGTCTCTCTGCCCTAAAGCATCAACTAGAACTAAGCCAGGAGCTAATCATCCATCTCCTCCTTATTGGAAGCAGACAGCAGACACTATTCCCAAGAGGAGAACAGAAAGATAATGTATGCCAGTGGGTTCAGCAGAAAGGTGAGTCCCCACTCCCACTCCTCTGCAACAAGGGGTATGAGTCGGGTCTAGGTGGTATTGTTTTACCCCATCCCAGACATCAGCGGGGCCAGTGGGTACCAGGAGTACTCAACATTTTGATCTCCTCTCCTCTGGTGTGAGAGGGTCCCAATGGCTTATGTTACTCCACCCACTCAAAGACAGACCCTGGGGGCAGCTTGAGTGTGTGCACCCAGCCTTACTCAGCCTGCACATTACACCTCGAGAAGGGGGCTGCTTCCCCCGCCCTAAAGGATTAAACAGGATTTAGAGTGGCATAAAATACTGAAATCATCCAGGGTATAATAGAAAATCACTCATCATACCAAGAATCAGAAAAAAAAACCCAGAGCTGCAATGAGAAAACACACACACACACACACACTATCAACAGGTGCCAACACTGAGGTGAATACGCTGTTGAAATGCTCCGATGGGGATTTTAAAGCAACCATAATAAAAATGTGTCTGGGGTCTCCTGAAACACACAGAAATTTTCAGCAAAGGAATTGAAGTTAGTACAAACCAAAGAATGGGAAAAAAAACTGTTGAATAGAAGTGATCATTAAAATAAATGCATACCACCGAAATTCCACTAACGACACTGTGTAGATTCAAAAGCAAAGTAGAGATGGCAGGAGTCAGTGCAGTTCAGGACAGGTCAAGAGGTGGTCCTCAACCTGGACGGAGGACATGGACAGGAACACAGCAGAGAGGCTCAGAGGCCTGCGGGACACTGACTGAAGAGCTAACCTTTGGATCGTTGGACCCACAGAAGGAGAGGAAAGAAGGAGACTGGAAAACCATTTGAAGGAGCAATGGTCAGACATTTCCCAAATTAGTCAAAAGACACATCTCCAGATCTGAGAGGTTGAGCAAACTCCGCACAGGGGTAAACTCAGAGAAATCCACATCAAGGCACATCGTCATCTAAGTCCTAAAAACTGAAGGGAAAAAATATTAAATCAAGCAAAGAGAAGTGATGGGTTACTTACAGGAGAGAATCGGTTAGAGGACGGAGGATTTCCATCTGAAAGGAGGGAAGCCAGAAGGAACTATACTTGATCTTAGCCAAAAGGCCGAGCACTGTCAGGAGGAACTGGCACAGTGTGCTTCAGGTGCTGAGAGGGAAGAAGTATGTGCGCTGTGGATTCTATACCCAGCACAGATATCTTTGGTGGATGATGGGAAAGTGAAGCTCCCCTCTGAGAAAGTCGCTCTGAGCCAATTTTCTAGCAAACCTCCCCCTGCTGCACCTGGCTCACCTGATCTCCCAAGGGCAGTGGAGTTGGCTGGGTCACGTTTAGCCAACCGGTCTTGTAACTGCACAGGGAGAATCCTGTTGCCCTGAGGAGGGCACCCTTCTTTTCTTCCCTCCCCATTCTCCGGCACTGGGTCCCCGGACAGAATGACCTAAGACCCTGCGTATAGGCACTGGGACCCTCAGGATGACTTAAGACATTGTGTAAAGTGCAGATTCCAGGGCCCCTTCTGAACAAGTTTCTGGGCATGAGGCCTGGGCATGAGGCCTGGCCATCTCCCTTGATGACAATCTCTGGAGGGGAGGGCAGCTTGGCCTCCAGCTAAGGAAATCAGCCCAGGAAACGGTGGTGCCCAGAAGCGCAGTGGGAGGGGGTGAGAGACATAGACTTCCCTGACCAAGACTCACGACCAGGGTCATAAATTAAGTTGGGTGCCATTAAGAGGGAACATAAACTCCACATGCCCACGTCTTTCCACCATTTCCCCCCTTTTATTGAACATCCCGATGAAGCCAACAGGCTACTCCATTCCCCACCGGTAGCCCACTACCACCACCACCACGGGCAGCCCATACCCAGAGCCCCCTAAAAGCACCTCCTCTGCACCACGGATGTCCCAAACTCCTTGAAATCCGCCCCGGTGACCCACATCTGCTTGAAGCTGGTCAGCGAGGTGACGATGGAGGCCCCGATCCACGTGGAGAACCACCTGTCAGGGGGCGCCGTGATTTTGATGGGGGTCCCTTTGGAAGCCAGCTGCTCCAGCTCCCTGAGCAGCCGGTCGTCCAGCCCCTGGAACAGCGTGGAACCCCCAGACAGCACAATTTCCCCAAAGAGCGTCTTCTGGATGTCGGCGTCGCATTTCACAATGCTGCTGGAGACCATTTTGGGGAGCCCTGGGCTGTGGATGCCCAGCTGGTCGGGCGCAAACAGGGCCTCGGGCGCCTGGTGTAGCTGATCCCCGAGGTGGACGACGTTCCCGTCGGGCAGCTTGTACTCCTTCAGGGGGTCCTCGGGTCTCCTGCACAGCTCCTTCTCGGGCTCCAAGACCACGAAGCACAGCTTCTCCTTGATGTCATTCACCAGGGCCTTGTACAGAGAGCAGGGGAAGGTGCGGCTGCTGGCCAGGAGCAGCCGGGTCAGGTGCTCTGTGATGTCCCTCCCCGCCACATACAGCTTGTTGACCGCGTGCGGCAGGGAGTAGCCCTCGAAGATGGGAACCGTGCAAGTGACCCCGTCCCCACTGTCCACCACCAGGCCCGTGACGCAGGCGGAGGCGTACAGCGCCAGCACCGCCTGGTCCGACAGGTAGAAGGCGGGTACGTTGAAGGTCTCAAACATGATCTGTGCCATCTTCTCGCGGTTCTCCCGGGGGTTCAGGGAGGGCTCGGTCATGAGCACCGGCCGGTCACAGGGTTTCACGCCCAGTTCCCACTCGAAGAGGTGTTTCCAGAGCTTCTCCATGTCGTCCCAGCTGCTGACCAGGCCGCGCTCGATGGGGTAGTGCAGGTGTAAGTTCTCGTACTTGTACAGTGCCTCTTCCCCCACAAAGTACTTCTTCTGGTTGGCTCCGGCTGAGGTCATCTTGAACTTGGGGTGCCCTACGACGGTGCTGATGACGTGTCGGGGCCCAATCTCTCCTGACAGGCCCGCCTTGCAGAGCCCGGACCCATTGTCAAAAATCACCGCCGGAGCATCGAGGGCCTGTGAACTCAGCATGTCTGTGTCATCCTTCGCGAAGGTGACCTAGAGAAAGACCGCTGCCTCCAGGACCGGGCTGCGACACAGGGCCCCGTGGACACCTCAGGGGCTCAGGATCCCACAGTTCTCGGAGCGTCTACCAGGCAAGTGAGCAAGCTCTCCCTAGCCCCCGAGACCCCCTACCCATCACCCACACATCTGACCCCCTGTCACCAGTGGAGCCTGCTGGGGCTTTTTCAAGGATGGAGTTCCATTATGTAACAATCCAGCCAAGGCAACAATTGTCTCCGGGGAGCGTTGGGGTGGGGGGTGGGGGCAGGGACAAGGAGGTGGGCCCTGAGCCACCAACTCTCCCAACTGCTTGGTGAGACTGAAGCCGAAGAGGGCGAACCACCCTGTGGGTGTCTGATGAGCCCTGGACCCCAGGTAGAAGCTTGGTCTTGGGACCAAGCAAGGCAGTCCAGCCAAGAGTACTGGCCCCTGTGGCCAGCGAAGTCGCTGTTGGTATAGGGTGACAGAAATATACTCCATGAGCCAAGAGGAAGCACCAGGCTGGAGCACCAATGCTCCCCACCCCGCAGGAGATACATAGACCCCCTGTCTTTAGAGGCCAAGCCCCTCCAGGAAGCCCTTGGCATCACTGCCCACTCTGCCCCAGAGAGCACAAAGGCCTCCACCTCCTTGCTCCCTGCCCGGCACACAGGTCTCCACCTGGGCTGGAGGTCAGGGCCCCTCTTCCTGTCAACAGACCTCCATGCTGGCTGGCACAGCAGTGCCCAGTGGCCCAGGGTCCAGTGGTTTCCACGAGGGCAGCCCCAGTTGAGCCGGAAGTCTCTGTGTCTGAGCCTGTTCTGAAATGACCAGGCCATGGAGGGTCGAGAAGCCATCCTGTTCCCAAGAAGGGCTGGTCTGGCTCTCAGGCCCCCAGTTAGCACCCACCGGGCATGCTGATGAGAAGTGGAGGTGCATCCTGGGAGCCAGAGTCTTTGGATCTGAAGGAGGACCGGGGTGCTCTTGGGAAGCAGTGCTTGCCTGAACAGTTCCTCTCCCTCCTGTCATGTTCAAGGTCACCTTCCAGTTCCGCTCCCTCCCTCAGCCAGAAAGATCTTCCAGAGCCCCCCACCCTCATCTCTTTCCTCCAGAGCCCCTGGTATCCTCCCCACCCTCTCTGTCATACCTGCCCTCCCAAAGCCCCAGTGTGCCCTAACCAGTGTCCTTGCCGTGGGACAGACATGGAGCAGATGCATATGTCCAAGATGTTCATAACAGATCAGCGGTATAGACAAGTGGTGTAGATGTTCAGTCCACACAAGTGGGAGAGACGGGGTACAGATGTGTGGCATACGTGCACAGACATGTGAATAGACATGCTGCATAGACACATGGTATGGATGTGTGGTAGAGCTGCGTGTATCCATGTGTGGTACAGATGTGGATACAGACATGTCCTACAGACATGGGATAATACAGGTGGTACCGACACGTGGTACAGATGTGAGGTAGAACTGCGTGTACACATGTGTGGTACCAATGTGCCTGGCATGTTGCTCAGATTTGTGGTAAGACATGTGGAAAGTTGTTTAGGGCAGACGTGTGGCAAAGCTGTCTGTATAGAGGTGTGGTACTGATGTGAATACAGACGCGGAACAAAGACATGTCGTATGGTTATGTGCTGAATGAAGATGTGTGGTGCTGCTGTGTGTACGCCGCGGGGTAAAGATGTGTGGGACCGGCGTGTGGCATAGACATGTGGTACCGATGTCGATACCGACATAGAGGACGGATGTCCAGTGCAGACGTGTGGCATAGCTGTGGGTACAGACATACAGACCTGTAGTGTGGATGTGTTGTCCAGATGTGTGTACAGGTGAGGAAAGGTATGTGGTACAGAGTACACTACAGATGTGGGATACGACGGGTGATGGCTGTAACAAACACATTTATTTTCTCTCCGTTTGAGAGGCGAGAAGTTCACATCCAGGCACCAGCTCCAGGGAAAGGTCTGTCCATTCTAAGGGAAATCCCTTGACTTTCAACGTCTGTGCGCCCAGTGTGCCCGGGAGGTCTCTCCTCGTGTCTTGGCATCAATTGTCTCCTGGGTCTATGCCACAGGTTTTTGGACTCTCTCTCTCTGCCATTGAGTCAACGCCAACCCATAATAACCCTACAGGTCAAGGTAGGACTGGCCCTATGGGTTTCTGAGACTCTAACTCTTCATGGGAGTAGAAAGCCCTGTCTTTCTCCCACATCCTTCTCATAACTAAAAAATAATAATTACTCAGGGCCCCACTGGCAATTAAAAGCGTTAGTACTGTAGCCCACATCCCAAGGTAGAGTATAGGGGTGTGCTTTTGCAGCCCCTGATTGCTTCCAGGACCCATCAAGGGATGGCATGGCCCACTTTGGGAGACCCTGGTCCACGAGGTTCCCAGCACAGGGACCCCGAGTC